CTTATATATATATATAGAGAGAGAGAGTACTTTGGTTTCGCTTTTTTGTTAAGCACAATCCTACACATCCGGTTATCTGTATTCTGCCCACCACGGGTATAGACACCCGATTTTTAGAGTCTTAAGCCTGCAGGCTTATAGCTGAGTCACTGAGGGACGGGGGGGGGGGGCAGAGGGAGAGACATGTGTATATGGTATTTCTACTTCAATCTTTTCATTGGTGTATTAGTTATAATCTCCATTACTGTTTTAGCTTTGGGTATACAACTGATGACTCGTGTTGTTTTTTAAACTTGTTTTTATAATGACCTAACTAATCTTGAAATTAGAGGCGTGTTCGTTTAAGCAGGTCATGATGTAGAGTAACATAACAATAGAGCAACGCTAACAAGAAACCCGATAACCCGAGAGCTTAGGTTATTGAGTTTCTTGTTCTGTTTTTATCCAACAGAAGTCTTAGTTTGCGATTTATCTGTTTTTTATCCGACAGAAGTCTTAGTTTGCGATTTATCTGTTTTAATCCTACAAAAGTCTTAGTTTTTGTAATTTATCTGTTTTTATCCGACAGAAGTCTTAGTTTGCGATTTATCTGTTTTTATCTTACAGAAGTCTTAGTTTTGGTGATTTATCTGTTTTTATCCTACAGAAGTCTTAGTTTTTTGTGATTTATCTGTTTTTATCCTACAAAAGTCTTAGTTTGCGATTTATCTGTTTTAATCCTACAAAAGTCTTAGTTTTTGTAATTTATCTGTTTTTATCCTACAAAAGTCGTAGTTTTTGTGATTTATCTGTTTTTATCCTACAGAAGTCTTAGTTTGCGATTTATCTGTTTTAATCCTACAAAAGTCTTAGTTTTTGTAATTTATCTGTTTTTATCCGACAGAAGTCTTAGTTTGCGATTTATCTCTTTTAATCCTACAGAAGTCTTAGTTTTGGTGATTTATCTGTTTTTATCCTACAGAAGTCTTAGTTTTGGTGATTTATCTGTTTTAATCCTACAAAAGTCTTAGTTTTTTGTGATTTATCTGTTTTTATCCTACAGAAGTCTTAGTTTTTGTAATTTATCTGTTTTTATCCTACAAAAGTCTTAGTTTTGGTGATTTATCTGTTTTTATCCTACAGAAGTCTTAGTTTTGGTGATTTATCTGTTTTTATCCTACAAAAGTCTTAGTTTCATGTAAGGTTATATGAGCTGATAATGTACGTATACATAGCTGAAAGGTCAATGTCTTTATCCTTAGCCAAAGTTTCATCTCTTGCAACTAGCATGTTTTTTTTTATTTCTGTCCTCTCTAGGAAGGTCTCACCTGTATGTTGGTGTTTACCATTATTGCTGCCGTCCTTGGAATGTTCCAATTTGGCTACAACACTGGAGTTATTAACGCCCCTCAAAAGGTAATGTGATTTACAGTTATTGACAACACTGGAGTTATTAACGCCCCCCAAAAGGTAATATGACTTACAGTTATTGACAACACTGGAGTTATTAACGCCCCTCAAAAGGTAATGTGACTTACTGTTCTTGACAACTGGATTTATTAACGCCCCTCAAAAGGTAATGTGACTTACTGTTATTGACAACACTGGAGTTATTAACGCCCCTCAAAAGGTAAAGTGACTTACTGTTATTGATAATGTTTGAAATTTCTACACTATATGACTGTCATGTTTATTTGTTTTTCAGTATGGAAGCAGCAGACAAAAAGAACTGTTTATTTTAGTACAAATGGTTTACTTAAGATTTTTCAATATATAACGGCCTGGCTATAAGAAAGTTACCCGTAGGTCTTTCTCAAAACGAAAGGCTCGGCATGGCCAGGTGGTTAGGGTGCTCGACTCGCAATCTGAGGGTAGCGGGTTCGAATCCCCGTCACACCAAACATGCTCGCCCTTTCAGCCGTGGAGGCGTTATAATGTGACGGTCAATTCCACTATTCGTTGATAAAAAAGTAGCCCAAGAGTTGGCGGTGGGTGGTGATGACTAGCTTCCTTCCCTCTAGTCTTACACTGCTAAATTAGGGACGGCTAGTGCAGATAGCCCTCGTGTAGCTTTGCGCGAAATTCAAAACAAACAAATACCAAAAGTGTGACCTATTGACAATCTAAATTCGTAAAATTACAAAATGATAATTATTACTAGAGTGTAAATACTAGTTTACCACCAGTTTGACCAGGTTTGACCTCGACTGACCAACCACTAAGTGACTTTTAGGTTCAGTGACCAAAAACTAGGTTCCTGACACTATTCCAAGAGCAACGAAGAATAATTTTATTCAACAAGTATCGCAAAGTTGAACTTATAATTAAGATGACATATTAAACAACATTTAAGGGTAAGCATGTCTTATAGACATGCAAGAAGATATGCAGACTGAACGCCCACTTAGGGAACTTTTGTACGAAAAAATCGTCTTTTTCGTAAAAATATTTATAAAACGAATAGAAATGACTGTTGAATGAACAGCGCTTGGAATTATTCGATTTTTTTAAGACAAAGGCCACATTAGGCTATCTGCTGTGTCCGTAAACTTACCGCTGTCCCACCAGAGGGCGATTCGTCCGAATAATAACTTTATATTTGATGGTTGGGAAAGCAGACCACAATTTTGTATATTGGGTGTTTTGGAAATGTGCAGTTTGTTTTGTTTTTTTTACTTTGGAAACATTGTAACTTTTTTGTTATGTCATTTCAAACTTCTGATAATATGTCACTTCTTAAGCCTAATCGAAACATCTTAATAATATATTCATTTCCCCACTTTATATGCTAGATTTAAGAAGAATTAGTTGTCAAGGAAACTGACCTTGTACTTGGAAATAACTTGACGCTCATGTTTTTCTTTTGGCATTAAGAAGGATTACTTATCAGACAAGTTGACTTTCAGTTCTTCGGTGTAATCTGATGTTCAAGCTTTTGTAGTGAAGGACGAGCTCAGGAAGAAGGACCAGTTGGTTTCAAGAAGGTTTATTTCTCAGGGAAACTGACCTTATATTTGTTGTTCAGGCTTCTGTAGTGAAGAACGAGCTTAGGAGGAAGGACCAGTTGGTCACAAGAAAGATTACTTCTAAGGGAAACTGGCCTTATATTTATTGGCCATAATTTGACTAATAAACTCATGTTTTTGTTGTTAATTTGAAATTGTGCATTCAATTCAGTAAGATTGAGTTACCAATGGTGCTTTTATTGTTTATGTCTCTACCATTACATTATTATTCCACTAATTGAAGAGTAACTACACTTTGAAACGTAACCTTATTTTTATTATTGTGATATCTCAATTTTCGGTCTTTTTTTTTTTTTACGATTTTCAACAGAATCCAGAAAGAAGAAACAACGATTTTTTTGCCACTTTCACAATAAAAATCAACAGAATAAAGTTGCCACGTTACCAAATGAATCACAAAATACTTCCCTTCTTCCCATGAATAGCACTTCCTTCCCACAGTCATGAGTCAATCGACTTAGCGTAGGTTGGTATTAGCGGCTAGCCATCTAAGAACAAGCGCTCTGTTCTTTGTTATCCAGCTTGAATGAGTTCTAATCAGGCCTAAGTAATCCTCACCTTAATAGCTCCTTATCCAGACTTCCGATAAGGTAAATTATTATTGTCTTTTTTTCCAGAGTATATTCAACTTATTCTGGCTTGTGACATTTAGGAGCTACTGCAACGCATTACTTATAGGATGTTAAAGAACGTTAGTTCACGAAAGATTATCTGCGTTGGGATTGTGCAAAGATTGCTAAGCCTACCAATGTTCCCGAACAAAGTTGTTTTTTTTTCTTTTAATAAATGACCCCTTTCTTTGTCTTTAGGTATGGCAATATATTTTATAAATGTCTTGAAATTGGTTTTTATTTTGCATATTTAAAATGAGTTTATTTTATTTTATTTGTTTCTTTCTTGAATTTCCCGCACTCGAGGACTATCTGCGCTAGCCACTGATAGCCATTCTTCTGTTCTTCCAAATGTTAAAAAAAAAGGCTACACGCAGTTCTTAAAACATTAAAGCCAGAATTAAAAAACTATTGTACAATAGAAATTGCGAGCAGTCTTTAACTTTATGAGGTACAGAATGAGATGTCTTGCAACGAAATTTACGAAGAATTTGTACAAATAACGTACACATAATATAGAGAGTCATTAAGACGGGGAAAA